GAAAAAATGTGACTCAAAAAGATTATCCTGTCAGACTTTCTGTCAAATTTGACAACAGGCTAGGTGGCATGACTAGCTTAGAACTATTTAATTACTGCCTGTCAGGTTGGGGGCCATGTCACTTGAACCTCCACTTCCTGGGTTCAAGTGATTCTCCCGCCTCAGCTTTCTGAGTAGCTGGGAATACAGGAGCACGCCACCACGCCCAGCTGACATTTGTATTTTTAGTAGAGATGAGGTTTCACCATGTTGGCCAGGCTGGTATCAAACTCTCAACCTCAGGCGATCTGCCCACCTTGGCCTCCCAAAGTGCGGGATTACAGGCGTGAGTCACCGCACCCGGCCCGTAATAGTTTGTTTTGTTTCTGCATGCTAGGAAGCTATATTCACTGTTTATATATTGCTCTCTCCTGTATCATTTTATGTGTTTGGCCCTTTTTCTATCACGTTTGAGTAAAAAGCCTAGCTTAAATCAGTATCTGTATCCTCTTTTGAAATCCTAGTCATTTGGGATGGATCATAAGATTCCCTACTATTTCATGAAAGGAAAATCGCTAACCTAAAACCTTGTTGAGGTCTACTTTTTAAGTGAAAAGTTAGTAGTATTTAATAATTGAGCATATTATATATACAAGATGAATCTGAATCTTAACTTTAAGAAGTACACGTGGCCGGGCGTGGTAGCTCACGCCTGTAATCCCAGCACTTTGGGAGGCCGAGGTGGATGGATCACGAGGTCAAGAGATCAAGATCATCCTGGCCAATATGGTGAAATCCGTCTCTACTAAAAATACACAAATTAGCTGAGTGTGGTGGTACTTGCCTGCAGTCCCAGCTACTCAGGAGGCTGAGGCAGCAGAATCGCTTGAACCCGGGAGGCAGAGGTTACAGTGAGCAGAGATTGTGCCACTGCACTCCAGCCTGGCAACAGAGCAAGACTCCATCTCACACACACAAAAAAAGAAGTACAAGCTCACTGTATTCTTTCCTGTTAATTCCTTATTCTACAATTCCTTGGATTTATTTGCTTAAATGATAGAATTTTAAAGAAATAACTCTGTTTTTCAGCTGTATTTTGGGAACGTTGCAATGAATTACAGGACATTGAGAAAATTATGGCTCAAATTGAACGTGGAGAAGCAAGAATTCAACGAAGGATCAGTATCAAGAAAGCCCTGGATGCCAAAGTATTGTATTTTATGTCAAATTATTATTAGATTGTTTTAATTGTGTAATTGTGGTCAGCTTTGACTTCTTACTGCACATTCAACTATGTAGGGTTTAGCCCTACAGGGTTTTGTGAGGTTTTTTTTACAGGTGTGGAGACAAGAAACTGTGAAAATAAAGACATAAGACACAGAGATAGAGAAAAAAGAGCTTGGGCCCAGGGGTCCACTGCCAACCGGAGTGTGGAGTTGGCGGTGGCCTCAAGTGCCTGGACACTTTGACTTTTATTGAGTACAAAGCGGGGGGCAAGGTAGGTAGGGCGAGGTAATGGTGGTTAGTGATAGGGTTAGGTAAGTCACGTGTTTTGGAGACAGGCGCTTAGGATGTTTAAGAAGCTGAGGCAAGGAGAAAACCTAATGCGTTAGCACTTTTTTAATATTTGTTAAGAATATTAAGGACGTTAACATTTATGTTACTATTACTCATTTTTATTTTAGAAGAAAGGAGCCAGGTGCAGAAGCGGAACATGAAAGTAGATATGGAATGTGACTGCTGCAGCATAGCATTACATAGGAATAGTTAAGCCCCCGGATGTTTGGAGGCCTTTTTGACAGCCGCCAAGCCTAACTACAAGAGCTTGGAAGAGCGGAGTTTTGTTTTCTTTTAACTTCCCTGAGGAAGGAGCTGTTTTGGCTATTTTGGATGTTTTCTTCCCTAGCCAGCTAAACTGTGGGTGCTTTTTTTTTTTTT